ATATATATATATATATATATATGACTTAATTTCATCCTGCCAAACAGCTGTGAAGATGTGGACAGACCCTTTAGTTAAATATATATTTCTTTGTTTTACAGCTTAGTATATAAGCTTTCTTTGTTTTAAGGTTTAGTAAGTAAAAGACAGGGTCTTGTATTGTATCTATGTTAATAAGATTAGAGGAATGTTGAAGGCCCAGGCCACAATGTGAACTGTTTTAATTATAAAATTTAGTAAGGTTTAATTTACAATTATTTTTTTTCTCAATGTAAAACACTGCTGTTTATATACCTTTGAAGGTCTCTGTGAAAGACTGTTTGTGTGAATGAGAAATGTATGCATCAGAAAAAGATAAGGTGTGAAGACCGTTGTTAAAGCCAGGTGATCAAGAGAGCAGGGGTGAGAGACTTACTGATACCAGCGAACCATCAGCGTGTATCCATGGAGGGGCAAATTGATGACTCTAAGGTGGAGGTGGAGCTGGTACCCCTAAAGACAATTGATTACTCAATCCAGGACAGGCTGACCCTCTTGGAGGTGTTTTGGAATGATAACATCAAAAGATAACACCAATTAAGGAGTAACTGGTCACAAACTGACACAGCGAAATCCATAGACTTCGACAGAGAAAAGAGGACTATAAGAGCAGGGTGCTTTGCTGTGGGACTTTGAGTTTGTCTTGCCACCAACTCTAGAGGCATCGGATCGCGACTGACAGAGCCTGGCTCCTCTCTGCGATCAATATGGCTAGCTACTAGCTTGATCCAGACTTTGGACTGGTGACTATAACATCAACTGGCGGGACTCTGTGTGTGTGTGTGTGTGTGTAAATGACTAAAGCATATGCTACTGTTGTATTCTCAATAAATGTGGCATGCTGCCTTCTCCCCTATAAAAGATGTCACGTGCTTTGTATGGACATAACATCGCTATTCACAGCCAATGCAAGCGTTGGGAAGTATCGTAGACTGGGTATTCCACCACTCGTATTGGCCATGAACGGCAATTCACAGCCAACCTAAGCTGCAGTCCTCCAATACTTGTGGAGGTACAGGTAAATATGGAGGTGGGGGCCCATCATGGACTAACACTGCTGACTGGATCCAGCCCATGGGCTGGAATTTGTCCACTACTGCTCAAGCACATTGTCGAGGGGTACGCCTCCCCCCAAAGTTTCTTTGCCCCTGTTTGGGTCCCTCAACCAGGGCAGCTACGGTATCTGCAGTTCCAATACAAAGTCCCGGCCCCTTTATCGGGGTAAATATGGCTCTATCAGCCTGGTTCAGAAGTCAGTGCCCCTCTATTGGGGAAAATACAGCTCTTGAGGCCTAGCTGACCAGCAAAGCCTCTCCTGGACCAGGGGTAGATTGTCCAGGGAAGGGAAAATCGGTGGTAGGGGGACCCAGGCCCTCCCTCTCCACCGGGTCCCATCCCAGGGCCCTTTAGGGAGGAACTGTGGCTCCTGCCCACTCGGCGGGGAATCTGGCCAATACATGCCGAGCCGCTCTATCAGTCCTTTGCCCTGGGCTGCTTCCTACCATGCACTGGCTCCCCTGTGGTCCATCTGCCTCAGAGTCAGTACCTGCCAGGTGCGGCCCTGCCTCCCTGGGGTTGGCGGCTGCTGACTCTGCCTCCGGGTCGGGCACAGGGGGCGACTCTGGTCTCAGCTGCTGCAGAAACAGCGGTACGGCCTGGGCTGCTCCTTCACCCTGCGGCCTCCCTGGTTGCAGGGCTCTCTCTGCTTTTATATCCAGGCTCTGCTGGGAGCATATGCAGCAGGGCTGGAGGGGCAGGGCCTTCTCAGCCAGCTGGGCCTGGGTTACCCCCTTCCCTCCAGTGCTGGGACTATCCGCCCAGTCACACACATACAACAGGATCATTGTGGAAATGGTTTCACCCATCAAGACTAAAGTTAACAATTTTATCCTCTAGACTTTTTGCATACTGCTCAATTTTTCTTTCATATACTTTACCCAGCAATTTGCCTGTGACATCTGCTCTGCTGAGTGGACTGCATCCTGGCCGTAATGACTGAACCATATTAATGAAGTTTGGGTGCTCAGTCATACAGAAAAGAGAGTTTGTTGCATAAATAAACTGGGCAATTTTTTCATCAATTACCCCTTTTTGAAATCTGTTG